TACCTAACGATATCGATTAAAGGAACGATTCCTCGAATCCGATACGAATGATCAGGAGCAGGAAGCGTAACTGCAATTCGACAAGTCGACAAACTGATGTAGCGTAACATCTCAATAACATGATCGAGAAGAACTCTAGCTATCTTCTATCGACAGAATTTTCTGTACGAGATGTTATTAATAGACTGCATGAAGGATATCTTGACTATAAACATGAAAACTCTTTATATATAATAGCTAAAAGCATCGTACGTTATAATTTTTTATATATAGAACTAACTGACATAAAAAATAATAAAATATAATGAAAATAATAAGTAATATGTGTCATCTGTTAACAATTAAAATTCGAGAAAAGAATTTAATCTGCGTTTTCATCTTTAGTTGGTCTCGAGTACATTAATTTCTTTACTCTACTTTCGAAGGTAACGCACATTCGAAATTGAGCAAAAACGCATCAAGATTAGAGAGTGTGAGAGAAATTAAATTGTCCTACATTCTTGATCTGACTTCGACAAAGTGGACGAGGTGAAATAAGTTTTCGCGATAGTCAAATTATTCGTGTGAATAGGCGTGCAATAGTACGATTATGCGAAGATATATATCAATGTAATTGCGAATATTAAATTTAGCGTCTCATCTCGTAAGACGTGAAGAAATTAGTCAATCTTGTAACGAGGCACCATTGCTCAAGCAGAATTTTGTGTATGGACTTGAGCTAAAGCATACATCCATATAGCATATATTTCTTAAGCAAGAAATAAAACTGCAGTGTGTGATTATATTATACCGTAATTTCTTTTGAGATTTATTGATAATCGAAAGACCATTTATCATATCTATATATCGATAAAAATGCAAATAACACTTAAGACTTATATTACATTATATCTGAGTAAACTAATACATCGGAATCGTTGTAAGGGATAGAATGGCCCAGTTTTGCAAGTCGTGCGTCATACTTGCTCGATGAAAAAGCGTCCTCCGAGAAGGCAGATTCCATTTTCCATCTTGTCATCCCCGCCATCTCGCCCTCCGACTATGCAATGTTCCCCATTCCTCTTATTAGCGAGTCTGACCCTCGAGAAGCGAACAGCGAGGAAGGAAGGAACGCCGCGCTGAATGCAGTTACAAATGAGAGAACACCTCGAATGTGACATCGAAGACGCTCCGCCGTGAAAGATGTAAGAGCGTTAAATGAAGAGTACCGGCACAGATTATCTAGGATATCAAAGAGCGGGCCTAAAGGGAGCACTGTGATCAAAGAGGTCGATCCCTTATTCTTGATATACGCGCACGGAGTTTCGCACCCTCACCTTATGCTGTACAGTTTCGTCCTGTAACACGCTTGACCTCCTTTCGAGTTTGAGAGAAACTTCGTACAGAAGCTAGCTCTGCGCAAACAAGGTTGTTTACAACTAAGTGGTTCACCAACTATTGAACAGTAAAATGGCAGCTACAAAGAATAATATTTCTTCAAGATATCCTACGTTATATTTATCGAAGTCATAACTGGGTTTAGTTTAACTTTATATAAATTATTCAAAGATAATGGTAACTTTTTACATATAAATAATGTTTGTTTCTTACCTTGAAAATAATACTTTTCTATGTGATAGAAATCCCATTTGTCCAAAACAATAAATGAATTGTGTAATCATGTTTTCTGTCATTTTGTAATAATATTAATAATTTTTGTTTATTGATATTATAATTTATAACAAAATCTCTTTTCTTATATATTCTATATATTATTATAATAATTTAAAGACATCAAAGATAACTTTATTTTAATTGTTGTTAAGCATATTTGGTAAAATATAAATATAAATAAAATACAGATTGTACTTTAAAGAATAAAATCAATGTACTTCAAGAACACTATCTAAGAATAGAGTGCCTTAGATATGATTGTCCGAAACATAAAGCAATCTCGATTGTAACACGAACATAAAAGTTTGCGATAGTAATATCAATGAGCACGTGTTTCTTTGCGATGAAGCGAATCATGGCACGATTATATGGAATTCCAGGTTTAATATGCACTCGCACGTGATAGCGATATAACGTAGTCCGCCATAAATAGTTACTACAGATTGTAACGATGATATTAATCAATCGATGGTTACGTTAATTTGAATTTATTGCTCAATAAGAAAACACAGTTGCAGTGAAATCTCCATAAAGTTAGACATAGAATTTTAATATAAGATACGAGGGCATATCCGAACGAAGCATAATATACAATACTATGTGCATACATTATAAAAAAATTATTACGGCAACTTGTTTATCAGTAAGAATGCCGGAAAGTTTTAAACTAACAATCAACTAATAAATTTCGCAAATTTTCAATAATTTGTGAGTTAATATAATTTCCGTCAAATAAATATCTCTATTAAAAAATTATTATTTAAACATAAAATAAACATATTCATAAATATATGCATGAAATTTCAATAACAATGAATACATTAATGCAATTAATTTTAATTTTTTTTAACAAGTTTAAAAATAATATTTTAATGTATGAAAGTAAAAATACATAAATAACTTGTTTTCACAATTTCTATTTTAACATTTTTTTCAAGTCATTTATGCTATAAAGGTAATCTATGAAGTTGTATGTTACAAAGATCGGAAGATCTAACTGCGGGAGTCTAGTAATATAGAATAATACAAAATATCCTTTCGATATGGAATAATACAAAAAAGAACGGTCTAACTACTACTCTATTGCCTTTTCTAATATCTTGTTAATGTATTTTTCGCTTATTAGCAATTTGTTTAGACGTGTATGAAAACAATTTTACCCAACCAATGAAAAAAATGAATAAAAGAACTTATTATCTTTTGCTACTGTCAAGGAAACTACCAGATTTTAAAGAATTATGCAATCGCATTATGCAATTCTTTATATTCACTCTTTGATTCGAACACATTGTGTCTAACCAACTATTTATTACAGATTCTTAAAGGTTGGAACCCCTTGGAGTTACAGAATACGAAACTAAAGGCAGACGAAAATAAAGGAAGACATCGTTTCACATGAATCATGAAATTCATGAATCTGATCAAGGCTCAGTCTAGAATTGAAAGAAGACAAAATTTTAAAAATTAATCTAAAAAAAAATCGAATTGCATTTTGCAGATTAAAGAATCTCCAAGAAAAATAAGTAGATTGCAACAGGACATTACCAACGATTCAAATTCCCTGCTGGAAGCAGGATATTGCGTAGCCAAATTGCGATTTGTAAAAACGCATTTGTAAAAACGCATAATAGTCAATTCGAAAATGTAAATTGATAAGCAATACCGATAATGAATAAGAGATTGATGGAGAGAATCTTTTTAAAATCGTTATTTCCGTTACAATTCGTCGGATGGACTGTTTCTGCGAATTTTGGGTCAAATTAGAGTTCACGTTTATAATTTATTATCGCCACGCTCTCATAATTTTTACGAAATCCATCAGCAAATTGCTGTGATATTCCGTCTGATGACTGTATTTCTAAATTCTTTTTCTTACGGGGTCATTGGGATCATAATCAAGTCATTTATGTGTTTTTATTATAAATTTACACATTACGTTTCCATTTTCGTTTTTATGTTGTATAATTATAATTATTCAAATACAATTGCTTGTAATATGTTCTTGTGATTCTTGTTTACATTAAACTCTCTCTCTCTCTCTCTCTCTC